TTGCCTCTGGCCCGCCCCGTGACCCCGTTCAGGGACTAAGCGGTAGAAAAAAAAAAAATGAATGAATGAATGAAAGATCATCTCTGTAGCATTAATAAGAAAGGATCCTGGACTGTCTGAACCTTGTGCCTCAACACAGATCACATCTCAAGAAGTTGAAATTTTTTCTACAAGATGCTGTAAGAATAGGTTTCCCCAGTGGCCACCTCACTGTTAAGGCTTGCCTCTTATGTTAAAGTCAAACTGGAGCAGGTACTGGCATGTCTGCAGGATCAACTGTTACCTTGTGACCTGATTATGACGACTGTCATGAGTGCAGAAATACATAGAAAGGCAAAAAAAGTGATAGGCCTATATTATTATGAATGTTTTTAGGTTCAGGGAGAGAACAACTTTGTTAGTATTAAAATATTATTTATGATTATTAAATACTGAATATATTGAAAACCCATTTCGAATCACTGGTCCACATCAAGAATTTCCCCAATAGCATTTACACAGTACCATTCATTCCACAGTAACATTCAATTTATGTTGTTGCAAATGGATTCCAAATAGACTCATGGTGAGTTTTCACACTGGGGAAACATTATTCTCTGTTGACCGTTCATATGGTCATTATAGGCTATGTATTATTAGAATATAGGTTTTTTTTTTAAAACATATAACTAAACACAACGTCTAGCAGACCTTCACGTATGGTGACAGCATTTAACCATATTTAGACAAACAATACATTTTAGCTGTTTTGTTTGTTTGTTTGTTTGCTTGCTTGCTTTGAAGAAATGCTAATGATGTGACTCCAGTGATGGCAACGTCAGTCCGTCTTTTGGTTAGTTTGGTCCAGACTGAAATATCCCAGCAACTTTTGTCTGGATTGACACAATGTTTTTCAACGTTAAGGTTTCCCATATGATGATGTATCCTAATGACTTTGGTGATCCCCTGACTTTCATCCACCCTTTTGGTACTTTTGGTTATGTGTCTTGAATTGCCTTAACAAGCACTGACCTGAAGTTTAGCACAGACTTTTATGTTCTTTTCAGGATGAACTGTAATAAGTGGGTTAATGTCTTAACTTTTTCTCATCTAGTAATTGATTTCCTGGCCTCCAGTTTCTCACATCTCAACAACAGACACTGTTTATGTGAATGTATGTGTAGATGAATGCTTAGATGTGTATGGATGCAGGTCTATAATGAACATGTTTACAGTACAAGTTGTTAAAATACATTCTAACAATGTCTGTTGTCCAATAGCTTATAACTATATACAGTGGGTATGGAAAGTATTCAGACCCCCTTAAATTTTTCACTCTTTGTTATATTGCAGCCATATGCTAAAATCATTTAAGTTCATTTTTTTCCTCATTAATGTACACACAGCACCCCATATTGACAGAAAAACACAGAATTTGACATTATTGCAGATTTATTAAAAAAGAAAAACTGAAATATCACATGGTCATAAGTATTCAGACCCTTTGCTCAGTATTTAGTAGAAGCACCCTTTTGAGCTAATACAGCCATGAGTCTTTTTAGGAATGATGCAACAAGTTTTTCACACCTGCATTTGGGGATCCTCTGCCATTCCTCCTTGCAGATCCTCTCCAGTTCTGTCAGGTTGGATGGTAAACGTTGGTGGACAGCCATTTTCAGGTCTCTCCAGAGATGCTCAATTG